AATTAATCATTCAGCTTTATATTTAACTTAGTTCGGTGCGGCATTGGACATTTATAGTAATGTTGCACCTGCTAAATTCTGGGTTTGTTTGTTTTCCACGTTCAAGTGCAAGGCAGTTTAAAAACGGGTTGGTATAATTTCTAACTGATTTTACGTTGATTTTACGTGTTTGTCGTAAGCTTTTAATGTAGCATTTGACGGTTTGTGGGATATACCAAGTGGCGATGTTTTGAAACAGCGCTATTGAATTAAGTTTCGTCTCATTGGTGAACGAAAACTTACCTTCTATTTCGGTTACATTTAGGCACCCCGGAAATTCCACATTGATGCCGACAAGTTGCCGGATGCGGAATACATTCTTCAGTGAAATTTAGCTTGTAAAATTGTGCACATGTCACACAGTCAAGGAATATATGTGAAAAGATCGTCACAGTTTTGTACCTACTCGTGACGCTTACAAGGAAACAATCAGTAGTTTATATTTTCAATGTTCAAACGGCATTCCGTCAACAATATGCGTCGCCCAATACCCATCAAACAGCACGTAAGTCTATCCCATCTGACATAACCATATTAGCAAGCCAAAATTCCTCTGCCTGTTTTAAACAGTTACTTAAACCTATGCCTTTTCGGAGCTGTTTGGTGACACGTACCAACACTGTCAAACTACGGTAAGCTCGATTTCCGCTCTTCATATTGTTGCATCAACCCAAGACTGCGTTGCATTTTACACCAATCAAGTCGAAAAGTGCAAAAGTGACGGTAAGCTACGAGTGTGATCTACTGAACTTCACTCGAGCAAAAGCAGAATAGAATGAAGCATTGGGACTACGAATTGTACATTGAAGACATAACGCTTGAGTGCACGATGCTTAGAATTGACCGGGCCTTACTTTCGTGATTCCATTGGTTAAATTTCATCGTTAAGCAGGTGCGTAATAATTGTCCCGGACAAGCCATAAATTCTTCTGTATCGACTATGAAGAACTGTAAAGCTGAATTGTCTTTTATGAGCTCATTCTGTCATGCTACCAGAAACACAAATGTTTATTCTTTAAAGTTTGTGCTCAAACTCGCGATAACCTAGAAAGTTCATTGCAGAAGGAAAAGTGTATTTGAGTAGCACGCTAGCTACGACATACTTGTAGCGTATCATTGTATTTTGCAGTCTCCAATCTACTATGGTACGCTTCTGCGTTTTGTTGATGTTCATAATATGCAATCAAATTCAGCGCGTACGTTCCTCGCAAATTTAGGGTTTTTTATTTTGTTAATCATCTGTTTTTTGTTGTTTTTAGTACTTGTGATGTAATTACTAATAATCATTTATTTTTGAAAGGCATGGTTGCCAACAATAAACCTAAAAGCAAGCGATGAATGCGAAAGAATAATAGGAGAACATTAGAGAAAATAGAGAAATGTTTCATTAGAAACCATGCCATGAACAGTTCCACTATGATGAGATGAATCCCAAAGTATGTAAAAATTTTGATATGGAAAGACGCGTCCAATGACCATTAACCGAACAAGGGACGAACTATGTTGAATGCTCTTTAAGACGCGGTAGGCACTAGCACAGTCAACACGCACACCAGGCACAAACTGTCCGTCAGACTGGGTCTGATATGAGATTAAATGGTAAAAATGTATATTCAACGTCATGTGCCACGCATAAAAGTGTCATAAGTACGCAGCGAGTCCAATGGCAAACAAACACAAGTCACTGACTGTGACCTTAGGAAGTCCCAGCCCAACAACAGCCTTAGCGGATTGAGGAAAGCAGATCCCTCTATAAGAGATGACCATCGGTTGGTGATCCAAAAAGTCGACATCACAACTGATTGCATGTGGGGCTGGGATTACGGCGAGGGAATATTCATCAGCACCATGCATCTGCTTCTCATTCCACACAGTCACTCCGCGCCCATTCGAGACTATGCTGACGTCTATAACAGTTGCACGGTAATCGCGAACAGCGATTAGGTCAGGTCTGACTAACTTCGAAGTAGGTACTCTCGATTCCTCGAAGAAGGTGTATTCCGGTCGACGGAGATGTTTTGCGAGTTCCCTTGCAATCCGATTATGACGAGCACATCTGGCATCATGCGTGATCCAGCAGGATTGCAAATATGCACCAAACTCTCCGGTTGACCACAGTTTCCACGACATAAGATCGTCTGGCCAGCATGACCATGCCGAGCGCTTTCAACTCTCGTCCTGAGAAGGTTGCATCGGGGCTGGATAACGCTGATAAATATCCGCGGGTACATTTGTACCGGAAATACGAGCCTTCGATTCGAGATGGGCGAAGCGATCAACTCTCGTAAACCGCAAACGTCAACGCTGTTGTGCAGACCATCACCCCAAGCAGCCACTAGCCTCCCTTGATGTTTACGCATGCACCATGGACTCGGATCAGAAGGCTGAGAGCCCGAACAATTTTGCCAAATGCGGACTCGTTGACCACACTGCGTAGTACTCGGCACTGAGTAGAAAGGAGATTTTCCATATGCGTTCTTCGCTGCATCTGGATTGGGGTACCAAG